TTTTAGGAAGAGTCAAGCCATCTTCAGGCCAGCCAAGACTTTCCCTTGCTCTTTACAATGGACATTTTGCAATGTCCTCATTGCTGCCCCCAAAGACACTTAAACGTCGTTGCAGATATTGCCTCCTTTTGCAGCCAGGACACTGCAAACATCTACTTACCATCCTCTTTTTATTCTGGAAACCTGCTGTACATTTTGCTAGACTCCAAATTCTAAGAGAACTCTGAATTCTCACTGCTGTAGTTGAGGACAGGAACACTTTCTTCTTTCCTTAGTGAGGAACCATAGGCAAAGTTCAGTCCGGAATTACCTGCTCAGTCATCCACTATCCCTGGTCTTCCTCCTCTGCTTAATAAACAAACAAAAAGTCTTTTGTGTCAACACACCCAGAACAAATCTTTCATTATTGTAGCTTAAAATTTTTTACAAATATGCTGCTTTTTTAACTTAAAATACTAGCTCAGGAAAAGCTAGATACCTAGATTTTGTCAAACAAAACTTCATTCAATCAAGAATTTTCTTTAAGTTTTGATTCACCAGAATTTTCTGTCTTTTCGTTTCTATATAGAAAACAAGATTTCACCTAACTCTTAATAAAATTCAAAGGAAATGATCATTTAACCCAATATTTCTTATAATCCTGAAACTGCAACTTTAAAGAAAAAATGTCCTTCAAGCTTAGTATTTTGCATGCACTATACAGTTACATTGGTAGAAGTCATATTTAGAGGGCTACTTAGAATTTCCTAATTTAGAGGAAATCAATTGTAATACAGGAAGGATGCTTACAACAATCTGAAAGATATATTTTCACATCAGCTTTTCTTAGATTAAGATCACATACATTATTGTAAAGCAAAGTCACGGGTCAGCAAACTACCTGGTTACCTGTCTGGAGTGATTTGCTCCCTGTTGTTTTCCCAGGTGGTTCTAGGAGCATGTACTGTTAATATAATAGTGTGATTTTGGTGAGTGCTTGCTAAAATTTGAGAGAGGTGTAAAAAGGGTGTGTGTCTGAGTCTTTAAAAGGTGTCACCCAATCATGTGGAAATTGTTAGCTGAGGTCTTTAGTTCTATGAGGAGCTAGAAATGATATGAGGTTACAGTGAACCCATCTGGCCAAGCAGGAAAATCCAATTTAATTGCTCCATTGCCAGAAATGTTAAATCAATTCCTGGGAATGCAATTCATTTGGAGCATATGGAACTCATTGAAGAAGGTCACCAGTGAATTTGAAACTGTACTGAAGATGAGAGCATTTCTCATAAGTAACAGCAGGTCATGTTTTTTCCCCTGGAGAGCATGTAAGCAGTGTATGTAGCTGTATTACCAAAAAGCTTAACCAATAATAGAATAGAGATATTGCACCAGGTTTGCTCACTATTTGCATTTTTTTCAGCAAATACTGTATCCTTTTAGGATTCTCTTCTCTCTCTAAAGTGGCAATGGAACGTGCTGACAGAATTTTTGGCTTATGTTACTTCTTCACCAAGAATTAGAAAAACAAGGCATCATGATTCAGTAGAATTACACTGGGGCTAGAAAACATGCGTATTTGAAAATGTTTTTCAAGATGTGTCTTTGTACTTTTTGGATAAATATTATTTGATTTTTGTTTACATTAGTGCTTTTGCATCTGCTATATTTTCATCTACATTAACCAAATAAACAGGCTTATGATTTTGGTATAAATTAAGCACTCTAAACTTTCCTATAAAGTACATGTACACATTCCCCTTATACTGTAAAGAATTAAAGAATGAGATAATATCTACAAGATTTTAGAGAAAATAACTTTCATCTTTTGTACTGGTTATAACAGATTCATAATTTCAGAATATGCCACTGTCCTGTCCTTAGTCAATCATTCACATTATTTACAGTCTTTGCAGTAGAAAGTGTAGATATTCTTTGAAAAAATATGCTTTCTATTCTGTTTTATTCCTTTTGATATTGCTCTAATTATATTTTAGATTTTTTTTTATTGTTTTGAATCAAATCTGAAAGATTTGGTTCCTAGAATATACTATAGTTCTTTTTTCCAGTCAGTGAATGAGAGTGAATCAGAGAAAATGTGAGCATCTAATTTTAGAAGCACGTTAAACAAAATGGAAGCACTTTTTACCGGAAAAGAAAAAAAAGGGTGGAGGCTATTTCTGATATGAAGAGAAAACTAAATCAATAAAAAAATCTTTGCATGTCTGTAATGCACCCTATGGAGACCTGCAGCAGGTGAAATAGGGTTGTTACGACTAGTGGCTACTGTAGGGAGGCCTTTGCCTTATTACTCTGAGAAAAGTCTTATATGTTTTGTGGTGCTGTCATTTTGAAGGTATTTCCTTAACTGCAGATTGTTGTATCTTGCAAATGACTTGATTTTAGAACGCATCCCTTTGATACGTTCTGTAATCCACATTAGTCTCACTAGCATGAGTCTTGGTGAATTGCTACAAGATTACTGCAGTGACCATAAGTACTTTCACCTGCAAATTCCCCTCTACCTTTGAATGATCTGGATTTTACAGTGCAGTGCTGCTTCATGTTCACACATGTACTAATTTTATGATTTACCCATCTGTCCTGAGGTATCTATTTTCAACAGCAGGCTTTTTACCTAGGCTAATTCCACTTTTTAATGATCTTTAGACCTAGCAGAGCATGACTGCTAATAGGTCTAAAGATCATTAAAAAGTAGCTCAGCCGTATGTCCCCAAGTATCCTCTGAGCTCTTTGGGTATAGTTGTTGTCTGTTTTTTTAAGAATGTTTTATAAAAATCTAACAAACACATTTATTAAAATGCAGGAATTTTTTCATGAAATAACTAGGAGCAACAAATGACAAGTCTAAAAATGTTTAGTATCAGCATTCCCTGACTGCTAGTATGAGTCATGATGGGAGCTGATTATTCTTCTGCTCTCTTTTCCGTGGTGATTAGCAACATGTAAGGGGTTCATTCAGGCCAAAGACAATACCAGGATCGTTGCAGTGGCAGGCGTTATTCAAGTCAATAATAAATCAGCTTGGTTGGTCCATTTACATTTGTAATAAAGCCAGCGGAGACATTATCTTCTTTACTTGTCATTCCGTCTTATCCTTGTTGAGCCCCGCAATTGCTTCCCTCAGTCCAACTGATTCTAATTTAATCCTCCTGGCCTTGCATTTTAGACCTTGCAAAGGCCTTGCCTGTCCAACTGTTGTCTCTCTTTCATGACAGAGCCTGTGATTTCAATGCTGACAGTATGTTTTCTGTCATCTCCAGTTATCTCTGACTGATCTTAAAGGATATCTTCATAGTTTGTCTTTTTATGACCAACAAAGCTCAAAATAAAAATATGTTAACACAACCTGCCCCTGTCTTTTCCTATTCTTATCCTGACTTTTCCCTCATTCCATTTACATTTGTGTTCACTCATTTTCTTTCCTTCATTCCTTCTGTCTGGTTTTCTTTTCCTGTTTGCTTGTTCCTCACCTTCCCCTGTTTGAAGTTTTCAGTCTCCTGCAAGGAGAAATGACAGTGGTCAATCTGCAGAATCAAATGGGAGGGAAATGGTCCAAGAGATGAACAAATGACATGGAGGTGAAACTGTTTGGTCACGGCTGTAGGTCATTCATGACACAAAGCTAGGGAATATGCTCAGAGGAATTTAGAATGGAATTTTTAAACCTTGAGCAAAACTAGAAAATTCGCTTTCAGTCTGGCAGGCTCAGCTGAATGCCTGAAACAATTATATATGATAATGCATATATGTATATCTGTGTAATGTGTATGCTTTCATTGGATTTTTCATGGGTAAATCACGTGAGAAGCCTTTTTAAAAAGGTTTTGAAGAGTTTGGTTTCTTTTTTCCTTAAGAGGACCAGCCAATGTAGCCACTTAGGTTTGTGAAGAAGAAAAAAAATAATTGCTGTTATTCAAAACTCCATCAATCATTTAAAAAAATCTGCACATAATGCAACAACTTTGAAATTACTAGGTTGACTCATTTTATGATTTTATTATTTCTTTGACATATCAAGTGTCTTCAGTCTACAAAAGATATTGCCTTCATTGTGTTACTGGAGCAAAGTGGTTTTTCCAAATAAACATGTGTTTGCACAAAAAAGAGAGATGTTTTTCAAACAGATGGTTGCTGTTGCTTTAAATAAGAATAGTCTCATGATATTCTGTGCTACTTTCTCATGTCCAGTTCAAGCATTAGATATTTTACTAGACAAAATACAGGTGAAACAGAATTAATCACAAAAATAATTATGTGGCCATTGCCAGTCTGCAAAGTATTTAGTAATATGCATTGTCTAAAGAACTTTTTCTGTTTGTAACTTTGTACAATATATCACCCAGGAAATAATCATTTACATACAGTCTATAACCTATTTATTCTAAGAAAAATACATTCATAAAGTTCTTCTGAGTTAGTCTGATAGAAAGGGATGATATAAAAGATTTGTACATCCAATTGTTCTGTTTACAAAGTAGTTACAGGCAACACAAAAACCATTTTTACTACTTGCCTCTGAAAAGTCACATGCAGAATAAGAAATCAACATGCAAGAAGTAGGTTAGAGCCCAAGTCCTAATTTTATGGAGTCAGTGGCAGGATTCTTGCTGACTTTCTGCAGGAAAAAAGATTTGGTGTTTTAGCCTCATTTGCAGCCACGGTTTTCAGTGCTCTCAGAATTATTCTGTAATTTTCCACTGGAAGTTCATGGGCATGTATTCTACAATGATTGTGTCAAAATGCAGCTGTTACAATAGCTCATTTATATTAACTCCATATTTTCCCTTCTCTCCTAAATCTTTTTTTCTTTTAACAGTAATTAATTTTAGATTAGATATAAGCTATTCACATGGAATCTGCATGTTTCTTTGCAGAAATGCATAATGCAAAGAGACCTCAGTTCTTTTCAGACCTTCTGAAACATAAACATGCAATATGTTAACATATTATGATATTTCCCCTTTCTTATTTTCTAATAATGGCATCATTTCTTTTTTCAGGCTATGCCAATTATTTCAGAAAAAGAGAAGGCTGGTGAGTAAATATTTATCTGTTATCACATCTCCTTGTATTTGTTTCCTGGTCCACAACATTACTTATCTAAATGATAAAAGCTGGCTTTAACCATGTGGTTTTTTTCAATGTATAGGATTATACACATGATAAATGTCTGTGTAAAGGTTCTTCATTACTTCTGAAATAGATTTTTTTTTCTCTTTCTGAATAGTCTGCATAATATGAGCAAAAATGTTTGAAATTATCCTAGAAAGCACTCAGTAAAATTGCAGCAGTCTCTTATGTGTTGATTACGCTCTATATGCTAACTTCCTACTCAGTGTTAAAACCCATTATGATTTATTTGATGTCTTGACTGACAAACACGAATGCCACTGGGAGTGCTAAGTCAGCAGGATTTGATGATTTAATGGGACATTGTTGTCTGTTTGTTAGTATGGAAGGAAATTTTGGATTGCTGAAGTATTTCACCAGAGATAAGGATTTTTGCTTTGGCAAAAGACTTCCACAATGTTATGAGTCTGCTTGTGTTTTCTTCTGTTATGCAAGTTCTGTGAATGTTCTAAGTACTCTGCTACTGTTATGTGACATCTTATATAAGCACGCGTTGTGGAGTGGGTGCCTTGTTGCTACAAAGACTAGAAAACACTGCAACTATTACTTCTATATATCTCAGAGGAGAAGGTCTGTTGTTTTTTGTGGTTTATTTTATTTGATAATTTACTAATGTGTGTCAAGTACAACTCTTAACCATTACCTCAAAATACTTGCAACTGGCATTCTGATTTGTGTCTGTTATTTTTGGTGATGTTTTATTCAGTTATCCTTGTTGAAGTGATTTCTTTTCTTTTGCTGGTTGAGATGAGCAGATTAAAAAAGCTTCTTTACAGGGTTTGCATTTAGTATTATTTGGTATTTCTTCTTGGGAGGCAGTTCAGGTTTTGCCACATCCTTTAAACTATGTCCAAGTCTACAAACTGAGCATAATTAAGGCTACTGGTTGCAACTAACTTTCAATAATTTGTCAAGCAGCCACCCAGCATTATAGAGTTTTGTCCATTATTAACAATATGCACCATTCAAGATCATAGACTGAAAATCATTAAAAAATCTCCAGGGTATAGGAACATATTTACCCTCACTTTGTACTAGAGGAATAGAGTCACAAAAATTGTGTTCTGTTGTCATAAATAATTTCCTGTGGAATCAGAAATAAAAGACAAAGCTCTGCTCATATTTTTTTAATCCAAAAAACATCTTTTATGTTTCAAAATAAAAGAAGTTCAGACCTAAGCTTTGTAACCTGTACATATGCACACAAGTCTCTTCTTCTCCCCAAATCAATTGTTTTATTTATTTATTTGTTTATTTATTTGATTTTGCAAAGTCTGTGGTATTTGGTGGTATGAACAGTAAGTAGAACTTGGAGCCATTTGGAGTCAGTTTTGTCATGTGGCTGCTGATGTTTCCATGCGCTTGAGCACAAACGAGACTGCGAAAGGAAATGTGGTTGCCTGGCTTTCAGTTTCAGCTTTTGTGGAATTCTTTGGCGTCTTGGGGGGCGGTGAGGCCAGGATTGTGAATGGCAATATTAAGCACGCATCTATGAGATGAGTATTTAAATCGGGCCCACGGACTGAAGTCGTAGCTGGTTCTAGTGGCAGTTAGTGCCGTTTCTGCTAAGTGCAACCAGGACGTCCTGGTCTGGGCTGGGCAGTTTGAGCTCTGCTGCTGGCAGCTCCCCTGGCACCTGCCACAACAGGAAGGTCATGGAAGATGAAGCCCTAAATAAGGTGCAAAGGCCTTCACAAAAGAACAGAACATATTTAAAAGCTGATGTTTTCCAAATAGCAATTTAAACAAACCCTTTTTAGTTTATATCATTACAAGCATACTGAAGTATACTAGAGACTGTTACAAAACAAAAAAATGCTTTTTGGTATATGTTAGTACTGACAGTGTTAAGAGCGCCATTGTTAAGGAGATTGGATTGCATTTTCTTAAAATTAAAATTAAATTTAGAAGGCACTCAATATATCCAGTCAAACTTCTTTTCTCATTCTGAGCATTTATAGTAAACTCCTACAGCTCCCTCTTTCTTTGTTAAGATTATTTAGTTTCATCCAAGACTTGGATTTGAAATAAGACAATGTAAAAGGGCCGTTATTTTGGTGTTTCTAGTTCAGAAATTCTAGATATATAAATAAAAGCCTGCTTTTGCCAGACTTTTATTCTGCAGATTCCAAATACTTGGATACTTTCAAATTTTTTTAGTAAGCAAGTAAACATATACATCCTTAAATGGACCAAGCTATTAAAACCCTTGGAAGTTCACATGTTACTGATCGTGTTTATAGCTGTTGTTAACCCTTGCAATTATATATTTTCCACATTTTGGATGTTTTTTTCCAATCCACATAAAGTTTGGACTACAACAAGTATGGCTTTTCAGCCGGAGCACTTAAAAAATAATGAAGGTATTTTTAGTTTTAGAGCAAAGCCCAAATATAATCTGAAAACATTGCTACTTTTGTCAATCAATAGCTTGAGAGTGGCATAAACAGCAATTTTTTTTTCCAGTGGAAAGTTCAGTAAAAGCTGCAATTGCAGAACCTCTTTGGCAAAAATCTGTACATGTTTTGAGCAGAGCCCCAGCCAGGCGTAGCTCTGTCTGCTGTTGCTGCAACTTCAGTCAGTTATGAAATCGCAGAAGAGATATTGTGGCATCAACATTTGTCCGAAGTGCTTTTATAGAAGTCTCTATTCTTGACATTTCTGGCAATAGTAATTTTTCAAATGAATTCTGTAAGGTAGAAGTCAAAATCAAGCAACACACACAGGGAAAATGAGGAGACCGGTGCTTGGACTGCTAGCAGCTCAGTCAGCTTTAGCTTCAGGAGCTACGTTCCAAAACTGAAGGTGAAGCACCACTAAGCACAGTGTTGCCTAAATCTCCTTGTGGACCTACTTCTTGGTTGCCTAATTTATCCTTAAAATATCTGTGGGAAACAGAGAACTCTGTTTCTGACTTAGAAACATTAGTACTCAGAGAGAGCCAGCGGGAGGGATAGAGTGAATAGCCACATCTGGTCAGGAACAAGCACAGCTTATTTCTCTTGAGGTGATGAAACTATGTGCTATCACATAAACAGGGCAGAAGGTTTAGTCTAGCCCTAAATAAATACTAATGCTATTGGTCTATAATATTCACTATTATAATAAATAATTTTTTCCTGTGCATAAAATAACCGTCCTGTGGTATTTTGGTTGAAAATCCATTTCGAAAAGTGTTGCTTCACCAAAAATAAAATAAGCTTTTTGAAGTTTTCGAGTTTTATGTTTTAGCTATTAAATGCAAGCTTGAATCAATTCAAACACAGAAAATAGGACTGGATATGAAAATACAAGTGGCGCTGCTCATCTGTAGCAGTAAATATTCCCCAGATGAAGAGCAAAGTTTGTTGGTTCCACAAAAATTTCCCTATGGGAAATGCACTAAAAATGTAAAATAATTTTAAAATCATAGAATGCTTAAGCTTGGAAGAGACCTTTGGAGATCATCTAGTCCAACCCCCCTGCACACGCAGGGTCACCTAGAGCACGTGGCACAGGACTGCGTCCAAGCGGCTTTTGGAAGATCTCCAGAGAAGGAGACTCCACAACCTCTCTGGGCAGCCTGTTCCAGGGCTCTGGCACCCTCACTGTCAAGAAATTTTTCCTTAAGTTCCTGTGGAACTTTTGGGGTTTCAGTTTGTGGCCATTTCCTCTAGTCCTATCAGTGGCCACCAGTGAAAAGAGACCAGCACCATTCTCCTCACTCCCTCCCTTGAGGTACTTATAGACACTGATCAGATCCCCTCTCAGCCTTCTCTTCTCCAGGCTGAACAGGCCCAGCTCCCTCAGCCTCTCCTCATAGGGCAGATGTTCCAGGCCCCTGATCATCCTTTTTTGTTGAACAGTCTTTCATTAATTGCTGGTTTGGTGCAACTTTAATAGGTGGTGCCAGTTCTTAGCTAGATAATCTTTCTTCTACTGTTGATGTTGCAATAGTTAGATAATTTCAGTTGGATGTTTGGTTTCTAAATAAAAATATCAGTTGAATACTCACACTTCAATCTGCCATACTAGAAAACAGCTACAAAAGTGCTGCCAGAATATACATGGGTGTCTGTCAAACACAGATAAATATTCATTTCCATGACACTTATCTCATTGCTAGAAAAAAATGGTCATGGTGCAGATAGGTACTGAAAGCTGATATTCCATACTAAGATTCATCTTGAAGTTTGTTGTTGGGCTTTGTTTGTTTGTTTTTTCCTAAACACAGTAAAAGAGGTGATGTTGTAATTTTATAAATTTGATTTTGCTCTCATTAACTGTTCACTAGTGTAATTCTTCTGAATAAATTGCTTCGCTTTTAGAAGTCATGCCACATTCACTGTATGCAGTCTCAAGGAGAAGCAATTTGCATTTTTCATATCCTTGTAATTTCAGTGATTGAAAAAAATCCACATCAACTTTTTGATAATTATTAGCAAAAAAATTTTTCTTTGTCTATAACCTCTTAAAATACAATATTGAGGAAAAAAAATCAGGAAAAACAGGCCCCAAAGCCTTAAAAACCTCTGTGAAAGTGTTACACAACAATAATTAAATCTGAATCATCTGAAAAATAACAGGACCCCTTGGGCCCCAAGTTCTCGAAAAAATATTTATCCAACTCTTGTTTACTTATTCCACCTGCATTAATATGGGCCGCTTCTTGTTAGCAATAAATTTTTTAATCAAAATTTACTGTTGTTATCTTTAAAGACTTTTTTTTTGTTTCTGGAATGTAGTCTCATCTAACTTGATCTGGAAGATGTTTAGGCACAGATAGAAAGGTTAACAATTATTTTTAAGCCTTGTAACAGTAACAAGTGTAGATCATTATTCTTGCATCATATTGGTCTCTTTCATCTATTTTAATGTTTATATCACTTGCAGGTGTGATATTTTTCTAGATTCTGTGATGATTA